GGAAGTAGTAGTAGTAGTTGTTCAAATCCAAGCTAGTGAAGTAAGATGAAAGTGCCTTCACAACTGCAGGATGCAAGCAGATGTCACCTGACAGCTTAGCATGGGTGCTTATGTGAGGAGCAGTTGGGTGATTGAAGGCTGTAACAGACCTTACAGAAGTGTGACTAATAGTTCTCTTAAACATGACGCTGCTGCTGAATCATTATTCAATGGGCTTCAGAATCGAGAAGAGCTGAACACAGAAATGTATCAGCTGAGTCAGATGAAGAGTGAGTAAGATCTTCAAAGAGCACCTGCATGACTGTGATGGCAATTTCAACTGACGTGTCTTAGAATCATGCTATTTTATAAATCTATTGCAGAAGATAGTTTTGCATACTAATAGCTCAAATACAGCAGCACAAGGTTGTGTCAGATGAGTGGGTGGAGGACTGTGTGTTATCCCAGGATGAGTCTTTGCCTTTTGCCTGCCAGGAAATTGTAAGGGAGGAGCCCTTCATAATCCCTGTGGAAGTCATAAGGGCATTTTTAGATGGATCAAGCCTCCTTTCAAATTCTTCCTTCTGGTTTCAGTGTGCAAGAATTCCTCAGTCCTTTTCCCTTGGTGTCCAAATGTTCAAATTAAGGACTGAGTATTTTTAAATCCAAATATTATTAGCTAGAGAAAAATACAGCTTCAGAGGGACCTTTGGAGATTATTGGGCCCACACCTCCCTCCTCAAAGATGATTAATGTTACAAATTTGCCCAAGGTCTTTTCCATTCATGTTTTGAATATCTCCAAGGACCTAGATAGTATAGGCTTGCTTAGCAAGGTCTTCTAAAGCTTAACCGCTCTCAGTAGGAAAAATACTTCCTTTGTGTCCAAGAATCCACCATCTTGCATCTGGTGACTGTTGCCTCTCATCCTTTTGCTGCGTACCTCTAGGAATCATCTGTCTCTGTCTTCTCCACCCCCCTTTTCGGTAGCCCAAAGATTTCATTTTACCTTTCTTTAGTTGCTTTCGTATGCAGATAATATTAACATTCTATCAGAGTGGGCCCTGAAAATAGTGCCAGTTACTGAAAATACCTGTGTGTCAAAAGGAAACAGTAGAAGAAGTGACAAACTTTAAATGGATGGAAATTACTCATGTACAAATTTATCAAGATGACATTTCTAAATAGTTTGCCTGCTGGAGGATCACTAATATTTTCTCTTGCCATTTCTCGCTTTGATAGAGTCTGTCTCTTTAAACTAATTTTATTCAAATATTGAAAAGTATTTTTTTCTGCCTTTTATTGGGAAAATGTAACCTTTGGAGACTTCCTGAAAACAGATCAAACTGAAGAACCCACTTGACTTTTTTCTTGCAAGCATTTCAAGTACCAGAGTATTTCTGATATCCCAGCACTGAACTGAGAAAGTCAGTTCAAATTATGTTTTCAACTACTTAAGAGCTAACAAATGCCACTAATACTTCTCCTATATCCAGTTCTCCTCCGGGGATTACTGGATGCTTAACGTAGGTCTTATAAAACTGATACAAAACACAGTAAATATCAGTGCTTATCGGAGAATGTGTAGGAGAGATAAATAGAGCTATTACTCTGTTCTCCCGGAAAAGCCCATGTCTCACTTGTATCAGTTTGGTCATTACCTTTAAAAGCTGCCCTGCTGCACACCTGAGGTAGGCACTTAGCTTCTCTGTATACCTGCTACCTGAGTTCTCAGCTTTTCTTGTTTATGCTTATAGCACCCTCCATCAGGGTATTTGGAAGAGATTTTAACAAATGATGTGGAATCGTGACATGAACTATTTGGCTGTGTATTCGTACAGTAGCTACCAGCACCTCTATCCTCTAGATGCTTCACAGGAAAGAAGAATGAACATTGAAAAACATCTTTGTTGCCTCCATGATTCCTTGTTGTACAAGCATTGCAGTTGGCTACATTCAAACACAGCAGCCTTGGTAGGAGTTTGGCACAGGTTTTGCTGTGCATAGTGTGCTACTAAGAAACTGCAGAGCTTGTAATTTAAAGCTGCATTATTCTTAGCAGCCCAGAAAACTTCCAGTTTGGCTGTACTAATAAATAATATTTATCCCACAGTCTTATTGAAGGATTATGTGATCTGAATCACATTTTCTTTTTTAATTATTATTGTTATTTTAAGTTTTTGTGCCACAGTCCAGATTTTGCTCAATGTTTCTAAGGGTCCAGAACTGTATTAAGCAGTATCTTTCTGTAGCCTCTGCTTTGAAATAGAAGAGTGGAACCTGGCTTTTTCTGAGAGAGACTTTCTTCTGTGTTTGTGATAAGCTTGTGTTGAAAGCACATGCAATTTGATAGCCTTAGTCAGGAAAAAGAATTGCTGTTTGACCTTTGCATGTATGTATGTGTAGCTGCATGCATGCACATGTGGCACCTTTGCTTGCAAAAATAGGCAGTAGAAACAATAAATGAGATGGGTGGCAGTGTTTTACATGGATTTGTTTGGCCTGTAGGAAAATAGAACAGGGTTAATGCCAACCCGTGTCATCTTTGTCGTCATCATCCCCCTCCTCCCCACCCTACGCATCTTAGAGCATACAGATACGGTGTAGGCCATAATCTCCTTTTCCAATTGTGGTTTGTGTTTTCATAATCCTTTTTCTTCCTTTTAGCTGTTTCCATTCTATCTTCTGGGTTGTTGTTTTTTTCCCCTCACCCTCCTATTGTAGTGGTCAGAAAAATACAAATTGTCTGATTTTGGTAAACTACAGATTTCTGAGAAAGAAGTAGTAAAAACACATTTGCCTTGTACATGCAAGAAAGCAGGTCTGTGAGATCCTGAGCTGACCTCTGCCTAAATGCTGCTCTGCCTTTAAATCATTGCAGATGGGATCACCCACTGGGATGTGGGCGACTTTTGTTTTTCTGTTCAAGGCCTTCTCAGGTGAGCTTTTGCATACCAAGTTTCAATTTTGCTATGACCCAAAATTAGTAGTTTTAGTATCTAATAAAATGGATGGTTATCTTATAACAGGTACTTATAGCTTACAGGAAAAATAGAGAAATTAGTTAAAGCAACATATTTAAGAAAGCAAAAATAACATGGTTTTCCCAGGCAATTAAATTCAGCATTATTTAGTGCCTAAGTACCGAAGAAGGTGCGTTCTGAGATATGTTTTTCTTTCTCTCACATACAGAGAGGATATATGCCTTTCTGGGTTAGTTTTCTTTACCTTGAATGGAAACGCTCTCAGATATCAAGTTCTGTAACAAAAACAGAAGGTCTATCCATGTGAAGCAAAATTTGCATGCTGGATAGTGAAGAGTACCAGAATGGCTGAAGACACTAAATTCAATCCTGTTTGGGAATCTGACCCTGATCCCACAAAGCTCTTAATCTCATCATTTAAGTGTATGAGTTTTTCTCTTCTGTAAGCATGTTTATTGTCACAGTAAAGTTAGTAGTGAGATTGAGTGAGTACCAAGATTACTGCCATACAGCTCAACAACTATCAGACCAGTGTTCACTGACCTGGCAGGGGAAACCTCTTTGCAGCCAGACCTATGTACTGGATGGCATTTGTGTAGGTGTTCATGCTGTTCTAATTCAGTGTAACTGAGTGGTTCCTACAGCAGTCAGAAAATTATCCTTTTGTTTGTGTGCAGAGGGCTGTACTGTGCTTGTTGCTGCAAAGTGCAAGGGTTGTTGGTTTTTTTTTTACGTTGCTTTGGTTTGATTTGTTTTTGGTTGGTTGGTTTTTGTAGTTGTTACACAGGAAATATGTAGAGGTATAGAAGAACAGATTAAAAAAAAATCTTGAAAGTACCTGATGTTTGTGTTCTGCAGTTGAAAGGTTTCATTGATATACTGTGCCATCAACTTGAATAGATGACTGTACTTGCACTCAAAAGGAGTCACTGTTGTACTGCCTTGGTAAAATGTCTTATGTAGATGTTTATTTTCATATAAAAGCTACCAAATAATACATTGTAAATACAGATAATGCAGTGTAAAACATAGAGTTTGTTTCACTTTCTTATTGGAAGCAGCTAATCGTGTGAAGGGTAATGGCTCTTCAGTCAGTGAGTATGGTAGGTGGTGCAGAGTAAGCATCTTTATAGATAAGGGTTTAAATACTGATTTCATCTGTGCGAGTACTTAATTGCTACAGACAAAGAAAAGTTACGTTGTTGCTTGTTTCTACTGAAAACTGTTGAGAGGTAAAAATGGACATATGAAATGTTGCAGTGTAATCTGATTTGCTGATAATGAGTGCTTGATAATCATTTTAGAGAGCAAGGCCTGGAATCTAACAAGACTTAGGCAAAAAAAAAAAAAAAAGGACTGCCAACAGTAGGTTGTGGCTTTCTTCATGTGGAGCTGACAGGGTTGATGCTGCAGGGGCTATGATTTGTCTTACATCCATGGCCCACCCTGCTTCGGTGAAAAATGAGCTTTCCATCACACCTTCATTGTATTTCATGAAGCCTGGCCCTTGCATGTAACATTTTTCTACACTGTAAGTTAAGCGCCACTTGGCAGGCAAGTTTTGCTTGTGAGACTTTTCTATCAGGGGAGTGTCTGTGCCTCCTGTCTTCTGAAGGCTGAAGTCCATTTCACATTGTGTTTAGCTTTCATACCTGAGAATTGATGCTGTCATAATCCACATCGCTGATGAGTTCCACATGATGAATGCAAGAAGCAATTAGTGCCCCACAGAACATGCTTTCACAGCAAATTTATTGCTCTATAAGCTAATTCCATTTCAGCGACAGGCAATCATTTATATAGGAAAACAAAGAAATAGACTGCATTTGGGCAAGAAAAATTAAATGCAGAAAGTAGTGGGGAAAAACAGCACAAGTTGCTGATTTTGTTGTTGCTAAAAATAGTAGACATGAATAAATTTGTGGTTTGCAAATAAGGAGCTCATTCAGGTACAAATACAAAAACTACTGTAAACTAAAACCAGGTGGGTGCTCCAACACTTCTTAATTCCTTTTTATGTTCGTGTAATCTTTTGCAGCTGTGCAATGGTGGATCTGTGACTGATCTTGTGAAAGGATTTCTGAAGAGGGGTGAAAGAATGAATGAACTTATAATTGCTTACATCTTACACGAAGCTCTGATGGTAAGATAAGCTCTCAGCGAAAGGACAGTCAATATTCAATAAATGGGTTTTTTTTTAATGAATGAAGATCATTTATCCTCTAATACAGCATATTAAGGCAGCATGTAATGAAATGTGTAATTCAGACAGTTTTTTGAACAAGCAAGGTAAAGAAGAAATCACCTGTTTCATTATTAAGAGAATGGAAATTGATTTCTGAATATTGATTTATTTCTTCAGTAAATATAGTTCTGCATAAAAATTTCTTTTATTTTGAGAAACTGCAAAAGTACACCCAAAATACTATTCAACTTCTTATGTCAGGTTCCAAGTTCTTTTTATAGCAAAATGGCCATCAGATCCAGTGAATTCAAGTGCTCAAAAAATTTGGCTAATCAAAATCAAGTATCTTCCTTTCTTCTTGTCTTTAACTGGAATTTGACTTTCCACTGTGGATTCATTGAGAGGCTTTAGCAGGTTGGTTTTTTTTTTTTTTTTTTTTTTTGGAGATCTAAAGGTGTAATATATAGCATGGACTTAGTGCTTTTTTTCTTCTATTATCTTGAAGTTTCTTTTTTGACATAATGTCAATCAATTAAAAGGTATAAATTCCTCATAGTGTGCAAAAGTATCTTCCCAGAAAGAATGGCATCTCTGGTTTTTGATTAAAATATACATTTTTTTTTTTTTTAGTTTTTCATACTTGTCTGATTTTTCTGTTTCTGCAAATGCAATACAAAGCATAGAGCTTTTAGCAAAAAATCATGTTTACATCTCATCTTCCAGGGACTTCAGCATTTGCATGAAAACAAAACTATCCACCGTGATATTAAAGGAAATAATATCCTTTTGACTACTGAAGGAGGAGTCAAGCTTGTGGATTTTGGTATGTAGCCTTATTTATATATACAACCAATGCTGTGCATCTGAAGAATGGAAAATAAAGTAACAGAAACAAATCAGAAAAGATGAAATATATTAACTTCTTATTTAAAATCACTTGGATAATCAAAGTCACTTTTTAACTTGACAGATATAAAATATTCAATGACTCGGTGTTTTTTTTACAGCTTTGGGATTTAAATCCGTTTTACTAATGGCTAAAGAGTAGAAGTTTTAACATGGTGTCAGTGTCAAATGCTTCGGGGCAGACACAGTAAGTGAAGTGGCAAAACAAGTTAATAAGGTTCAAAGAAAGGTTTGTGTTTAATCTTCCTGACTGCGAGCTGGTTCAGTGAAAGTAGAAGCTGATAGTCAATAGCCTTCTTTTGTACCAGAAGAGGCTTAAAACTTCGCAGAAAATGTGAAAAATAGGAGAGTTCCATCTCAGTCTGATGTACTTCATTAGTTTGATTTGAAATAAAACGAGAGGTACTTCTTGAAGGCAGCAAAGGGGAATATGTTGTGTAGGTAATTCCCACTTTCCAGATTCTGTGAAGAGTAACAGATTATTTGTTGGCAAGTCTAAACCTAAGACATCATTTAAAAGGCTCTGATCAAGTCTGTTAGATCTTAAGTGGTTCTTGAATGCTGTCATCTAGTTCTACCACGTGAAGGTAAGAAGCAGTGAAATACGTAAATAATGCAACCATAGCACAGTGATTTTCCTTAAACATTTACTGACTGTTGTTTTATGTAACGGGGGAAGTGAAAATTTGCAATGCTTGTAATTGTGAACTGTTATTTTCTGGTAGCATGCTGTCTTCTAATGATTAAATTAATTTATAAGTCACTACTTGATAGCACAGCAGCTGATTTGTAAATATGATTACATTTGGAAGATGGAAAATCTTCATTTTCCTTTACCCTCCTATCATGTTGATAAAATTTATTCAACTGATACATAACTGTTTAAACTAATCATGGGATTTTAACTTTCATTACTGTAGTGTCTTCCTGCCAGTAGACTGTACAACAGATTTGTACAACTCTCTTACTTCACACACAAGAAACCCCACAATTATTAGTGTTAGTAATTCTGAAAATGTATGTGTTTACATTCAATTTTTTTTTATTCTTCAGACAAAATTTTCATTTACAAAGCCTCCAAATCTACAGTGTTGTATACCATATGCTTACTAGTACTTTATGACTGTCTGAAAGTTTAATGTGAGGCAAAATCAATATTTTTTACCCACAGGTTTTTAATGTGTCATGAATGCTATTTTCTAAGGTGCTGAAGGTAATTAGAGCTGTGGAGGATCAATGCTTCTGAAAATTAATTCACATATGCAGATGCCATAATGTACAAGCTCTAGGGTTGAGGACTTCCCCAGTTACTACAATCTATTACTAGGGCTGTAATTGAAAAATAATCTTAAAATCTTGTGAGAAAAATTAAGATGCCAAAACAGATGAGAAAGTGTTCAAAAAACAAGTTGACGTGTTTATGTGGGATGAACAGGGGCTAGTAGTCCTTCCAAGGGAATGTAGGAACTGCACCCTAAATTAGGTATTCTAGCCTCTTCCCCCTACCCCCTTCAAGCCAATCTGCAGCTACTAATGCATAGTTTCAGATGGGGGAAAAAAAAATATGCAGTCTTCACAAAATCATCCAAGAAAACATACTAGTCACCCTTCAGGTTGATGTTTAAAGTATTCAGATGGGATTTGGGAGATTTGTGTATTCTACTTAAGAGGATTTAAGCCAACATTAATCAGATTCCAAGAGTACTTTTTAGCCAAGAATGTAATTTGATAAAATCTCTCATGTTGATACAGACTCTGACGCATAAACACTTACTGGATCAAGGACTGAAGTTCTTTGCCACTTTTTTATTTTTACTAAATACACCTGTGAATCTACCAGCTACACTATGATATAGCCACATTGACACAATCTCTTTCTTTCTCTCCTTGTAGATACTCAGTGGAAACTAAACTTTTCTTTTAGGTTGAACAATTATTACATGGGGCCAAACATACAAGCAAACCAAACAAAACCAACCACACAATCACACGGACCTTTCTAGCATGTACATAGGTTTTCCACTGTGTAGAAGGGAGAGAAAACAGTAGGTTATGGACTTCTTTAACAAGCAATTACACTTGAGAGAGAAAATGAGCCTTTCTTAAGATAATTTTGGCTGTACTGTTTCCTATATGCTGGTGGATGTTGAGATGATCCTGAAGAACCCTTTGGTCTCAGTTCCTCATACTTTTTATGGTTTTTTTTTTTTATATGGTTTGTTTATAAACAGATACATAAAACCTATTTCAGGAAAACTGACCAGTGAAGTGCCTTACAAAACACAGTACCGAAAAGGACATATTCTCCAACTCTGTGTGTTGAATGGTCATACTGTATTTTTGTCATTGTGTTATGTTTTCTTTCTGAAGCCTTCAGGAGCCTTTTAGAGTTGCAACTGATAAACCAGGTAGCATTCAATGAATTAAGTCACTGAAGTCTTTGAGAATGACTTCTTTTTTTGGGTCTTTTTGTACTCTGAACTTTGCTTATGTAGTGTATCACAACTGGGACTCCTTTCTTGCACACCAGTATTGACTTTCTAGAAGCTTAATTTTGTAACCCAGTTTTCAAGTAACACAATTTGTAGACATTGCCTTCTGGCCATTTTGTCATAGGCTGTGCTGTGACCATGGTTTCTGAACATTGCAGGACATGTAATGGATGACTTCGCAACACTGTACAAGGAATTAAGTTACTATAATTTCTAGCTACAAAACAGAGATCTAAAACACTGAGAACCTGAGTTGCTTGATGGAATGCAAAAAATCTTGTGGGAAAGCTTTCCCAAAATCTTAAATTGTAACAACAAACTTAGAACAGTCATAGCTGTTTGTTTGCCTTTCACAAAGGTATTGATAGTTAATAAGATGAGAAAGACTATGAAATAATACCATGGCATTGCCTCAAGCGGATTGTTATCAGGGTAATTTTTGCTTTTGTTCAAAATTCTGCTGCAATAATGTTTAATCTGTATAGAACTTACTCTATTAATATTTCCATATCTTGGAAACAGTCCCAACTAGGGAATTAATGATCAAATCAAGGAAGAGTTTATAATATCTCTATACTGATGCTTCTGGAGCTAAGTTGCTTGTCAAAGAGTTATCAAACAGACCTTTTAGTTTAAATTGCTCAACTCAGAAGTTTGAAATACTGTTACCAGGGAAGCATCCTCTCCCTGCACAACAATGCAGTACAATAACTTAGATCAGCAGAGATAAACAAAATCATTCTTTTTGACTACAGATAATGAGAAGTACCTAAGGGGATCATCACTAGGCCAATCCCATGGTCATGGTTTCAGTCCCTGAATTAAAAATCCTAAATATGTTATACAGCCTGTATTTTTCTCTGTGAGAGAAGAAGGTTGACTGGAGGCAATCTAGCCACCTAAACATCTGTGAGAATTAGCCGTTTGGCTGTTCTGCTTGGCTGTTCTGCAGGAAGACCTCTGGGAAGGATGTTACACCTAAGAATGTCATCAACTGCTCCAAGTTTGCCTCTGCAGTACTGATGCAAATATTAAATAACTGATCTTTTCTCAAGTGTAGCTGCTATGTATTAAATATATGATAGAAACCTGATAGAAAAGCACACTTTTCTACATTAAAATAAATCTCTTCTAAGAATCTAAAGGATGAAAGCCATTGAATATATTAAATTGAAGTAATTGGAGACAGGCAAGGTATGAATCGAGTTCCCTTCTTACAAATATTCTTAATTATTCTTACACTTGCTCATTACTTTTCTATGCAGGGAATATTTTTGCTCTCACTTTTTGGAAGTCCTTTATATGCGCATCTCAGTTTTCTGGTCGTTTGCAGTGGATTCAATAAATTTTAATCACTGTATATACAGATAAGCACTTAGTATTTTTTTTTTTTTTCAGAAAGTTCTAACAAATAAATTCAAATTAATTAAATGCTAGGTAACTTTGAAAGTCTTGTGACTTTTACTGCCTAAATATCTTTCAGTGCTTGACCTTCTTTCACCAGTCAAAAAAACGGCCTGAAGTCACTTGCATGCATAACACACCTCATCTGTAGTAAAAATTCATATATTCATCCACATCTTATAATGTGTGACCAATGTAATGGGAAGCTGTATGCGTAGCATCTACGTATACTGACAAATACTTGTTTATTTGAATAGACTCTCTTAATTAGGGTTGTTTTCTTGAAATCAGGATGCTGAAGAAGGCCTTCCACATATGAAATAATATTAGACTAAGATAGAATTCAGGTTCCTCTGGAAATTCTGATATGTCAATAACGTGCTGTTCCAAAATGGGAGAAAAACTTAGCTGTATTATTATCATCATTGTTATTTTAATTTTACTCTGACAGAGCCCTGGTAAAATTTCACTTTGAAAGATTTAATATGATTCTGAAATATTCTCTTTGTTAGCTTGGGAGCTTGTAAGTCAGAGCTTTTAATGCTTACATGTTTTTGAAAGAAGAGCATCCTCGATTTCACAGCTTTCTGTCATCGAGCTAGGCAGAGGGGAATTGCATGTGAGGAAAGAGCCATTCTTCCCCCAAAAGTTCTGAAACATCTAAGTCACATGGAAGTGATTCTTTGTACTCTTCCCTTTTTAGCTAAATGCTGATGGAAAATTCCTCATCAGGTGTATTTTTGAGATTTGACCTTGCAGGCTGATAGTCTTGTACGAAAGCACAAGTAGCTTACATTTCTCTGGGCCTGCTGAAGCCTGCTATCACAGATTGGAAGTATCTCGGGATGAGCCACTGTTGCCTTGGAAATGGTCAGAAAATAACGTGTAAATTGTGCTTTACCACTTAGTTTTTCAACACTGCTGCTCCTTGCTGAAGACCATGTGCTTCCATGCAACTCATGAAAATACCCTTTCATACCACATAATTAGACTGTTGAAGTTATTACCATGAAAGTGCATT